AAGGTTGTTCAAAACTACTTGGTCACAGTGTAACTAGAATTTAGGGTATGTCTACACTAAGGGATTACTCCGAATTTACAGAATTTGATTTTTGGCAACCGATAGTATAAAGTCGAGTGCATGCAGCCACACTAACTTCTCTTTTCTCCAAAATTGGATGGGACAGAGATGGGCGTTGTTTTTAAAAAGCCTCTCAACTGAAGGAAAAGAAAACAAGGGATGTCATTAAAATGAAAGTCTAAGGGCTGGTCTACACCCAGCCGCTAGTTCGGTGGCTGGGGATCGAAGTTCTGAGTTCGACTTATCGCGTCTGGTCTGGACGCGATAAGTCAAACCAGGAAGTGCTCGCCGTCGACTGCGGTACTCCAGCTCGGCGAGAGGAGTACCGCGGAGTCGACGGGGAGCCTGCCTGCCGTGTGTGGATCGCGTCTGAACCGCGGTAAGTTCGAACTAAGGTATGTCGACTTCAGCTACGTTATTCACGTAGCTGAAGTTGCGTACCTTAGTTCGACTTGGGGGGTTAGTGTAGACCAGGCCTAAGCACATTAATTCGTCGGTGTGCGTCCATGTACCGAGGCTAGCATTGACTTCCGGAGCGTTGCACTGTGGGTAGCTATCCCATAATTCCCGCAGTCTCCCCCGCCCATTGGAATTCTGGGTTGAGATCCCAATGCCTGATGGGGCCAAAAATTTGTCGCGGGTGGTTATGGGTAGATGTCATCAGTCAATCCTCCCTCCGTGAAAGCAACGGCAGACAATCATTTTGCGCCCTTTTCCCTGGATTGCCCGGGCAGACGCCGTAGCACAGCAACCATGGAGCCCATTCAACCTTTTTTCACTGTCACCATATGTCTACTGGATGCTGCTGACAGACGCGGTACTGCAGTGCTACACAGCAGCATCCCCTTGCCTTTGCAAGTTAGCAAAGACGGTTACCAGCCATACTGTACCGTCTGCTGCTGTCATGGGTGCTCCTAGCCGGCCTTGGTGAGGTCGGTCGGGGGCGCCTGGACAAAAATGGGAATGACTCCCCAGGTCATTCTCTTCTTTAAGTTTTGTCTAATGGAGAGTCAGTCCTGCCTAGAATATCAGGCAAGTCTACTAAAGAACCAGAGAGGCAAACGGACGCTCTGGGTCAGAGCCCCAGACATCCTGCAGAAATGATGAGCTGCATGCCATTCTAGGGGGTGCCCATACAACAACCCCACCCATTGCTTCCCTCCTCCCCCACCCCTCCCGGGCTACCTTGGCAGTTATCCCCCCATTTGTGTGATGAAGTAATAAAGAATGCATGAATTTGAAACACTGACTTTATTGCCTCTGCAAGCAGAGATCAAAGGTGGGAGGGGAGAGCGGTTGGCTTACAGCGAAGTAGAGTGAACCACCATTCTGCACTTGCTCAGCCTATAGCTGAAAATGGGAATCTGTGATAAGCACTAAATAGAAGCACAGGCAGGACTGAATCTCCATTTGTGTGTGGGCCTTTGGTTGACACTGGTAAACTACAAAATGTCCCAGGATATGTATGTTGGGGGACAATTCTAAACGGCAGCTTTATTTTTTTATTTGCAGCAAAATGTAGAGGTCTAAGTATCTGATTGTGAGCCCTGGGAGCAAGGGGTAGGCTGGGGTAGGTGCGACCACGCGGTGCTGCTGACTGGGAGAGCAGCCTGAGGCAGAAGCCTCCAAATGGCATGATATTCCAGGCAGGACTGAATCTCCATTACACAAAACTTAAAGAAGAGAATGACCTGGAGTCATTCCCATTTTTGTCCGGGCGCCCCCGACCGACCTCACCAAGGCCAGCCAGGAGCACCCATGTCTGCCCAGGCGCCCCGACCGACCTCACCGAGGCCAGCCAGGAGCACCCACGGGACGACAATGACGGTTACCAGTCATACTGCACCGTCTGCCATCCGCAAGGCAAGGCAAGGGGATGCTGCTGTGTAGCTCTGCAGCACCGCGTCTGCCAGCAGCATCCAGTAGACATACGGTGACAGTGAAAAAAGGCGAGAAACAATTTTTTCCCCTTGCTTTCATGGGGGGGGGGGGGGGGGGCTGACGACATATACCCTGAACCATCCACGACAATGTTTTTGACCCTTCAGGCATTGGGAGCTCAACCCAGAATTCAAATGGTTTTCAGAGAGTGCGGGAACTGTGGGATAGTTACAGTCGTCAGTCGCCCCTCCCTCCGTGAGCGTCCATTTGATTCTCTGGCTTTCTGGTATGCTTGTCTCAGCTCCTTAAGTTTCACACAGCACTGTGTTGAGTCCCTGTTGTGGCCTCTGTTCATCATGGCCTTGGAGATTTTTTCAAATGTTTTGGCATTTCGTCTTTTGGAATGGAGTTCTGATAGAACAGCTTCATCTCCTCATACAGAGATTAGATTCAGTATCTCCCGTACGGTCCATGCTGGAGCTCTTTTTTGATTCTGGGACTGCATGGTCACCTGTGCTGATGAGCTCTGCGTGGTCATCTGTGCTGATCAGCGCTCCACGCTGGGCAAACAGGAAATGAAATTCAAAAGTTTGCGGGGCTTTTCCTGTCTACCTGGCCAGTGCATCCGAGTTCAGATTGCTGTCCAGAGCGGTCACAATGGTGCACTGTGGGATAGCTCCCAGAGGCCAATAGCGTCGAATTGCAGCCACACTAACCCTAATTTGAAATGGCTATGTCGATTTCGGCGCTACTCCCCTTGTCGGGGAGGAGTACAGAAATTGATTTTAAGAGCCCTTTATGTCGAAGTAAATGGCTTCGTTGTGTGGACGGGTGCGGGGTTAATTCAATGTAATGCTGCTAAATTCGAACTAATCTCGTAGTGTAGACCAGGCCTTTGCTTTCCTGTTCCATAAGCCTAGGCCCTGGCTACTTAACCTATAGGAGAATTTCCACTAGTTGTTAATGGTATAGTATCTGTGACACAGCTGAACATTTCTGATTCCCTCAAGTACAGGTCTCTGGTGCACCTGCACATTAGCCAGTTCATCACAGGATGGTAATTAACCATGAAAGGGATGTTATTGTCTTTCCAGAAGTAGCGTGAGCTGCTGCAGCTTGGAGATGCATCAGATGTTTTGATGGACAGCTAAGTCTCTCCCACGCAGTCAATCCTATTATTCTGTTAGTGGAACTAGAGAAGATCCATCTTAGGCAAATGGAAAGAGGAAGGAAGTGAGGCAGACAACAATCTAGGCCTGAGAGAACTAGAAGCTCCCTGGATAAAGCCTGGGAGAGGAAAGGTTTACGTCAGGAGCATCCTGCCTGGAAGACAGGAAATTCCAAGTAAGAAAGGCCCTGATGATGGAGACCTAAATCCAGGGACTACTGAAGGTGCTGGTTTGGGAGTAGACTTGGGTCAATTAGGCCCACTAGGCTACCTGTCAAAGAGGAGACACGCTCCGGAGACTTTAGGATTCTAATTCGGAAAAAGTCTGTCTTAACCCAAATCCTGTGGAACACGTATATTTATGGGGGGTTAGTCTAAGTTTAGCCCAAAAACATTAGCTGTGACCAGCCAGTTTCTATTAGTACTATGAACTGGGTGGTGCCCTTAGACTATTCACAGTTTCAGGTTTTTTATTGTAATCCGTGTGGCTGAATTTCCCTACACTCTAAGTAACCCGCATCTATTACTAGATCTCTGCCACACTGTTTATGTGACCTCTGAGTATAAGTGACATTCCTGGGCAATCCCTCTACATATAAATTGCTGATGTGGTTCTAATAGGAGCACCTATAGCACTTGCCTTCAGGATTTGTGGTGTGGTTGTCCTAGCTACCAACATGAATTCTGTGCACCTCTGCTCACTTCAGGCCTGTCTGGGCCAAAGGTGCTAAAGGATTATTATCGTCGCTGTAATACTGGTGGGGAAGCTGAAGCAAGAAGCAGTGAAGCAACTTGAACAAAGTAACACAGTGAGCAAGTTTCAGAGCTGGGAGCAGAATCCCAGAATCCTGACTATCAGGCTGCCTGCTTTGCCTTCTGGACAACACTACCTGTAAAGGTGCCCTGGTGAAACAACTCAGTCATATAAGGCCCATCTCCTCTCCCCAAATTACCATGGGAACTTTCCAGAGAGTGCCTTTCTGTCTGTAGGTCTGAGAGCCAGTGCTGACAATAAGACAAGAACTTGCCTACCAGTGCCTCTGGCACGACCAGAGCTACAGAGCAGAGCTGTACATAACCCAGTGCTGAGGAAACACCCCCTGCTCAGTGGGACAGACATGGGGATTCAAATAGTTTGGTATGTGGCTATTGGTCTCATGGCAGCAAGTAAGTCAATAGCTGAAACGTGAATCCCTGTCTTGGAATGTGCAGGGCATGGCTCTAAAAGTTTCCACTGGAGCCATTTGCTTTATTGTATCTGTCTCAAATGGTGTTTTTCCCCCACAGGAGGTACAGATGCTGGATTAACACAAACACCAAATCTGATACTGGCAACAGGACAGACAGCTCATCTGAGATGTGAACAAACTGATGAGCATTACATTATGTATTGGTACTGGCTGCAGCAAAGGAAGGGGCTGCAGTTGATCTATTTTTCTGTAATAAACTCTGTGCAGTCAGGGGACTGGAACACATGACTTATGAGAAGAGGCTGAGGGAACTGGGATTGTTTAGTCTGCAGAAGAGAAGAATGAGGGGGGATTTGATAGCTGCTTTCAACTACCTGAAGGGGGGTTCCAAAGAGGATGGATCTAGGCTGTTCTCAGTGGTGGCAGATGACAGAACAAGAAGCAATGGGCTCAAGTTGCAGTAGGGGACGTCTAGGTTGGATATTAGGAAACACTATTTCACTAGGAGGGTGGTGAAGCACTGGAATGGGTTACCTAGGGAGGTGGTGGAATCTCCTTCCTTAGAGGTTTTTAAGGTCAGGCTTGACAAAGCCCTGGCTGGGATGATTTAGTTGGGAATTGGTCCTGCTTTGAGCAGGGGGTTGGACTAGATGACCTCCTGAGGTCCCTTCCAACCCTGATATTCTATGATTCTATGAGAGGGTGATGATAGTGCAGAGGGATTCACAGCCTCCCACCCTGAGATCGCACTCTTTCACTTGACTATCTACCCTGTGACAGCAAATCACTCTGCTGTGTTTTTCTGCACCAACAGCAGACCTACAGCTGAGCTACACAGTGCTCCAGAATGACCTCCTCTCTATACAAATTCCTCCATCTCCCAGGAGAGAGGCCAGTGCCCCTAGCACAGGAAGTGGGAGTCCCTCAGTATGAACAGATATTGAGAATGAAGAGGTGAATATGTTTAAATATAAAAATATACTTCAGAATTTTCCTAAGTGGCCACTGATGTTGGGCACTTCCATTTTTTCATGCAAAAACTGTGGCCACTGTGACCCCAGGTACCTGGGGTAGCCCTCACTGAAAATGCAAAGGTCAGACAGGCTGCAAAAGGGAGAGCTGATAACCACCAGTTTGGGGAGTTACACTGAAGTTAGATTCACCAACCAGTCACAAACTGTGCTTCTGATCCCTAACACTGGTTATTGAGAAGTTGAAAAAAGAAATCACACAGCCCCCTTTATTACATTCCAGTTCTCTGGCTCCCATTCAGCACCTAGGCCCAGTACAGTGAGAAGTTATTTAAAAACTCTGCTCACATATACGAAATGTAACAGAGGGTCCTGTGGCACCTTTAAGACTAACAGAAGTATTGGAGCATAAGCTTTCATGGGTGAACGCCCACTTAATCAGACACAAGTGATATATACGAAATGTTGTTCTGAACTCCAGAGGGCCACCCACATTGCCAGGTCAATATTAGCTTGGGTCTTACCCAAAATACCACACTACCAGCCAATCCTTTAGTGTTTAAAACTAAAGGCTTATTATAAAGAAAAAAGAAAATACAAGAAGAGTTGTTAAATGGTAAAGCAATCAGATACATACAGAGACTTCAAAGTCCATTATCAGGTTCTTAGCAGTAGAGGTGAATTTGCTGGCTTAAAAGTCCCCCTGGAATCATCCAAAACTTGGATGGTTCATTCAGCTTAATAGCTCATGTTTTGCTTTAATTTCTAGGTGATTCTAATAGTATGTGAGTTATGTGGTCTCTCAGATTTCTTAGACTTAACAGTAGTGTTCTCCTCTTTTTCTGTCTTGGCAGATGACCTTCCAGAACTCCTACAGTGCATGAATGTTCCTGTCCTAACGGATACAGGCAAAATCACTGAAAATATGATGTTCCTGGGATACCTGGAGGGTGGCAAAGACTCCTGCCAGGTGAGATGTTTTCCTCTGTCTTCTCTTTCTGCACAGACATGGTTCAGCTACTCTCATGCCACTTCTTCCACTGTTAGTGCCAAAGCTACATTATGTTATAAGTTAACTCAGTTTTGTGGTGACACAACAGCAGCAAGTCCTTAGAAGGGAGTAGAACGTAAAGAAAGATGGGGAGCTTGGCAAGTAGGAACTAGGCATGATGGACAGCATGGAAAAAGGCATGAAAACAGAGTGGGTGTCTATATGCCAGCATTGCTGGTGCCGAGGAGGGGGCAAAAGGGGACTGCACTGCAAGGGGTTTGGGCTATGGAAGAGTTGAATCAAGGGATGAGAAGTTTGAATCAGAACTGCAAGGTTTAGGGTAGCCCCTGGATGGACTTAGTGATGGTGGAAGGGGAGGGTCTGAAGATCAAGTGAAGAAGCTCTGATCAGCTCAGAGCATCTGAAAAGAATTAACTGCAGTTTAATAGGAGAAAGAATTTGCTGAAGATGATATGGCTTTAACTTTGGGAGACGAGCTTTGATCCAGGCTCTGATTGGACAGATTGGATACCTGTAGCGAGGCAGTGGGATACCCCACAGCCCCATTGAGGGCCGAACCTCCCCTAATACCAACGTGGGCGGAGCCACCGGGTCCGGCGCCCTCCCCTCAGAGGTCATGGCGCCGACCCGGAAGTATAAAAGCCAGCCTGGCAAGCTCAGTGGAGAACAAGCCGTCGGAGAGAGCAGACGTCTGTGGCCGGGCTCCCGCTTGGGAGACAGCAGCCAGCCGCGACCGCCCTGCTGACTCACCAGGCCAGCCAAGCCTACCCCTCGCCCGTTACCCTGAGGAGGACTGGCCAAGCCTGCCCCTTTCCTGCTATCCGGAGGAGGGGCCGAACCTACCCTTCACTACCTACCCGGAGGAACCGATGCTGGTGGAGAGCACCGAGGACACTAGTACGGCCCAGGTACCATACGAGGGGGAGTGTGGAAGTAGCCCGGGGGCAGCCGACCCCAGTCTGGCTGCAGCACTGCCCGAGCCTATGTCAGTGTGTTGCGGCCAGGATCCCCACTGACAGCAGTGAGTTTCCGCCACTGCTAGGGCCCCGGGCTGGGACGCAGTGGAGTGGGAGGGCCTGTGTCCCCCCTGCCACCCACTCCTTGGGTGGCAGACTCCCCCTTTTCCCTGGCCTAGAGAGGCTGGGGCCTGCTACAAACATTGACTCAGCCCCTGCTTAAGGGCCTGGGTTCCTGAACTATTGGCTCAGCCCCTGCTTGAGGGCCTGAGCTCCAGACTGCGTGGTTGCTGCCCCGCCCTGATTGAGGGCCCGGGGCTTTTTCTGATCTATTGGCTCAGCCCCTGCTTAAGGGTCTGAGCCCCTAAAAGTGAGTTTGCTGTCCCACACTACCGCTGGGCCAGGACGGACGGTGGACCAGAGCAAGGCGGTGGGATACCCCACAGCCCCGGTGAGGGCCGAACCTCGGCCAAGACTACTACAATACCATATTGGGGATTGAAGCACAGGATTCAAAGCCCTTCCTTTAGTTCTCTTGCCCCAGTCCAGTCTTGGTTCAGAGTATTGTGGGATGCACCATATGGAGCTTTGAACCTCTAGGATATTATTTCCAGCTGCTGATGAGAAGAGAAAGGGATTGGATGGTCTGGAAAAGGAACTCATTGAGTTGGGAAGAGGGATTTTGAGGTCTCTTTTCACCTTTCCTCCTTCCAACCCATTTGACACATCAGACCCTGTTTAGTTTAAGTATCTTACCCAAAGCTTTCAAAATTCCCCTCTAATTAATTGAAAACATGCCTGAATTAGCTTGTGTCTGTAACACCCAAACTCTTTCCCTCACAGGGCAATTCTGGTGTCCCAGTCGTGTGCAACGGCAAGCTCCAGGGAGTCATGTCCTGGGGGACTGTGTGTGTGTGACGGGGTCCCCGGGGTGCAGCCTGAAACTGTGGGACCACTGTGCCCCCTTAGCTCTCCAGCCTGGGCTGTCTCTCACAATGCTTTGCTAGGGACCAGCAGCAAACTCCTCCAGGAGCTGTTATCATTCAGCATAACTGCATGTGGAGCCCCACACCCAGCTAAATTGCATGAATGCTCCCAGAGCCACTCATGAATCATACAGAGAAAGGCACCAGCCAAATCCCCTCAGCTCCCAGCCTTGTACCTCAGGAATATACAGTCTTGCACTGCTCAAGACGAGCAGTGCAAATTTATTAATTGGTTCACCACTTCATCAATGGAAAGTGGATATACACCAGCCTTTCTAAACCTGAGCAAGCACCCTTACCAAACACTTCAGGCAAAGTCACTGGTAAAGATAAACAGTTAAACTAGTTTATTGACTACAAAAGATAGATTTTAAGTGATAGGCAAAAAATCAGAAATAAATATAAGCATGCAGTCTAAACTCTCAACCAATTAGACTGGGAAACATCTAGATTAAGCAGTTTTTCTCACCCCAATGGATATTGTAGTACACAGTTTCACCCTTGAAACCTGGGCCAGTCCCCTCTGTTGGAGTCTTCAGTCTTCTCAGTGTCCTTGTTGCTTGCAGCATAGGTGGAGGAAGGAGAAAGGCCAAGTATAGGACCACTGTGTTCTGTTTTATACTCTTGGTCCATGTGTTTGGAGAACACAAGTCCAGGCATGTCTGGTTGGCATTGCTCACTCACAAGGCGAAGCAATACCCCAGTGTGTCTCCTGTGAGTGAGTCATTGAATTGTAACTCCTCTGCTGGACAATGGCAGGTGATGGGCGTTGGTTACTTTCCTTGCTGTTGTCTCTGGGAAACTAATATCTGGCCGATTCCCCAATATACAGCATGTTTTACTGACAACCATACAACACAATCTCATAACTTCATATGCACTAATGATATAATTATTTAGATAGAACAGTGACTTTCACCAGATCATAACCTTTACCCTGATACCCCACATGGCATGCTTTATATACAAGATCACAATTATATATAAATGAGGAATATGGGGGTTACAGGGCATTCCCCCAAGGTATAGAATGTCACAGTGTGCTCTACAGGGTTACCCGGGAGACCACACCAAGGTCTGCAACTAGGTTGACTGGATCGAGGAGACCGTTGCCAACAACTAAAATATCCATCTCCTGCTGGTTTCCTGTATAACCCATTTCAAACAGAAAGGAAATAAGCTGTTTAACAAGTTAAAAATGATACAAGGTTAGCTATCTATATATCTACAGTGTCTTTTTGTCTCGATGTTTTCACATCACCAACCAAAATATTTTTATTCCCACCCAAACCCTGATGGGATTTTTGCTCCCTGATGGACTTTCTTTCATCCACTAGGAATGGGTGCCTATCAATCAGCCTCTGAAGAATGCCTGTTGTTTCTGTGGAATTTGCTGGCTAAGGCAGCCCCTGCCCTGCTCATTCTGTTTGAATGGGGAATTTGGCTCTGTAACAACTTCTCCAGCCTCAACTTCCACAACTACATTCTCAGATATGGGGAGCAGCCACAATGAAATTCTCTCTCCCAAACTGTAAGAACTGGCATCTGTGTAAAAGATTAAATGGATCTTGAAACAGATAGCCCAAGAAAGGAGCAGTCCCAAGAGCCTTTTTCAACTCTGAAAAGGCTAAATCATACCCTGCTGACCACTGAAATGGTTTCTCTTTTTTTACTATTTACTGCTTGCCAGAAACATTCAGCAAATGAACAGGGATCCATTCTTGTTTCAGATCTACAAGAGCTTTAGCAGCTAATATTCTTCCAAGAACCTGGGTCTCAAATCAGGTTTCAACCATTCCCCATCTCTTCCTTGCTGGAAAGCTACCATAGCATGTATAATTGAAATGATTTCTGCCCCTGGGGGCAGGACAATTCATTCACTGCAAACCAGCTGTCTATAAATCATGTGCGCCTGGCAGGGCCTGCGCAACCCATTAGGCAACCTGGGCGGTCGCCTCGGGCGCTAACATTTGGGGGGCGGTGACCGCGGTGGCCAGATCTTTGGCCGCCCCGCGCGTCGTCGGCATTTCGGGGGCGGGACCTTCCGCTGCCTCTGTCAGGGGCGGCGTTTCGGGGGTGGGACCTTCCGTCACCTAGGGCAGCAAAAAAGCTGGCGGTGCTCCTGGCCTGGGCCATATCTTAAGGGAATTTACACAGACTGAATTTGTAAGACACTTTTCCTGGCATTGATTGCACATTATTAGCCATAACTTACCCACTATTTGAGCCATTAAGACTTCTTGCTGAAATTCCAGAGGTTCAATCTTTAAACCCAATTTTCCTAGTTTTTGGATGGTGCCCTTGTCCCAGTCATTGTCTGCATTTGAGACCAATTAGGTGGTTCAGTTTTGGATCCCCTATTCCACAGCCTTTTTAACATGTCTTGTCTAATACCTTTTATGTTTGAGCTTGTGTGAACTATCCTTATATATATATATCACAGATCCTAAAACTCGCTTAATAGCCAAACTCCCATTGTTGTTTAAATGCCCAGAGCGAAACAAAATATATGGGGCTGATTCTTGTACATATAAGCTTTACCCCTTCAGCTTAATGTTCTTCCGTTTCCCAAACTGTGAGATATATTCACTGGACACTTGTGACAGCCTGCCTTGTCCTGCTTTAAACTTATAACACTCCTTTTTGTGGCCAGTTTTGTCACAGTCCCAGCATTTAATTGAATGGTTTCCTTTAATTTTTGCATTATTGCCAATTTCCCTTATTTTACGAACCAAATTTATCATTTGTTCCAATGATTCAATAAAGTCATAAACCAGGTTAGAATCCCCTCTTTCATCATACATATTAGGCCTGGTCTACACTGCGGGGGGGTCTCTCCACAGGGGGAGAGTTGTTCCTGGACCACTTGGTTCCCAAAGAAGAGGGACAAGACTAGCCTTTGGACAGATGCCCTCAATGAAGGGCCCAATTATGGGTTTTTCAGGCTCCTCAAATTGTTTCTCAGCTTCACTTCCATCTCACCTGGGTTAAATTTCAGCCCGCTGTATCTCATCCAGGTGCTTTATCTCTCATGGACACCCTTACATCCACGTGGTAGTGTTGGTCAACTCCACAGAGAATAAGATAGAAAATTATATAAATAATTTCATACAAAAAATGTTAAAAATTCTAAAGCTGAGAAATGCTTGAATTACAGTTGCCTGTGCAGCCTCAATTCAGCCCCTTGTATGTATGCACTATGATACATATATTGTGATGCAGTGATTACATGATCACATGCTATTTTTCCACACAATCCGTGCCACAGAATGGATGGTGCTCAGGGAATGAGGCAGCTGTTCAACTTTTCTTTTTATCGTCATCATTCACTAGGTAGCACCTGCCTTTTTTATCAAAGCCTGCATTGAAAACAGCATTCTGAATTTCTTCATGGGCTTTCCTACAGCTCTTATCTCCACAGAATCTAAGAGCTTCACAAATGGTGCATTTCATTCTTTGTGCATGGAAATGTGGCAGAAGGAGGCATGGAGAGCAGCAGGGCACAGAAGGGGCAGGACCAATGTTGATCAGCAGTGTGCAAATGATGCTGCTACAAACCCCATCTCACCAGGCTTGGGGAGTGCTGAAGACCTGTCACTTAAGAGGAGGGTGGCTCTTGCTCCTGTGCCTGCACATTGACCCCCTAAAGGCATAATGGTGCTATTGGAGGTTGGGGGGTGAAGCCCAGCTAGGGGGAATTTGGAAGTGCTGGAAAGATAGTTATTCAAGTTCACTTCTCCCTTCTGCTCTTCAGAAGAAATGTCTGTTAATCTCTGACCTTGCTGTTTAGTTTGTACTTTAATATGGAAAGTCAGGTTTGGTGTATGGAAATTTTCCTTCACCTCATTTGCCCTACCTGGCTTTATGCAAGGTTAACTCTTTCATTTACAAAACATCTTTCTCAAACTGCTCTACATGCATTAATTGAGCCTTACAACACACGTCTGAGATGGGCATTATTAGAAGGGAGGAAATTTGAGGCACAGACAAATCTGACAAATAACACACAGCAATTCAGTGACAGAGCTGGGAATAGTGACTGACTCCCAATCTCCTGCTCCAACTAGGTAACATTGCTTGACTCATGCAAAAGTAATCACTGTGGACTTGAGGTGGGGGTGGGGAGACAAATGGGAACCATTCACTGCATATTTGCCTCTTTGGATGAGACTTCACATGGTATCTGAAGGTCCTGTGGCACCTTTAAGACTAACAGAAGTATTGGAGCATAAGCGTTCGTGGGTGAATGCCCACTTCATCAGACGCAAGCTTATGCTCCAATACTTCTGTTAGTCTTAAAGGTGCCACAGGACCCTCTGTTGCTTTTTACAGATTCAGACTAACATGGCTACCCCTCTGATACTTGACACATCTGAGATTAAAAATGAAATGAGCTTGTTGAGTCTCATATGAGTCTCTCATTTGTGAACATCAGAAAACCTCTACCGCAGGATTTTGCAGCGACTGTGCAAGAGAGGCCCAAGATGGGTTTTAAAGAGCAGGGTCAGCACAGAGTGGCTTTAGCAGAGTTCTGCAGGTTCATATGACTGGAATAGCCAAACACACTGCAAGTGATAATTAACTTAACAGGGGGTGTTGCAGGTCAGAATTCAGATTCTTTAAAGGAGTTGTGGGGGACCCTGTTTCATATACCATGTGCTGGGCAAAAACATAAAAGGACTCCATGCTTGTAAAACTAAATGGGCTCTTTATTAAGAGAACTATTTACAGAGATGCTGCAGCTAGCATTCCAGCCATGTTCACACAGACTGACTTCCTGACAACTTGTGCTCCTCCCTCCAAGTACCAGGCAAGTTGCTACAAGCCCCATGGCTCAGATGGCAAGAGGTCCTGCAGGGAAGGACTGAGGGTCATTGGCAGAATGGTGTGGGGAACTGCAATGTATACAAAGGTTCTGCACTATGCCATGGTCTTTAACCAGTCTCCTGGGAGTAACCCCTTTAGTGATCTGAATCCCAAGGATCCACAGTGTTCCAGAAGGGCAGGCCCATAGCCTCCATGACTCCGAAACAGGGTCTTCAGATGCCAGCAAACCCTGTCTCTCTGTGTGTCTCTCTGCAGCAAGTCTAGCTGAGCCAGACTCCTGTGAGAGACTTTTCCCCTCTTTCAGGGTGTAATGCTCGTCAGTAAGTATCTGCAGCAACACCAGGCACTCTTTTGACAATAACATAACCTTTTTAGCCACCTGGAATACAGCACTGAAACTCTTCATGTTAGCATGAGAGAGGCAGGCTTAAGACAGCGTTCATAGCAGTGGAAGCCAGGGCTTTGCCATGCCCTTTTTCTTCCTGAGCTCTATCTTCACTCTCTCCCAGCCCTTTTTCTCTTTGCCTGTCCCAAATTTCCCACTGTTTGTCTGTGAACCCTCTTCTTAGCCCGAGCTCCTGACATACTTTGTCTATTGTCCTCCTGCTACAAGCCACACTGAGTTCACATGGCCACCCAGCCTTGGACTCTCAGTTGCTAGATGCTAAAATTCTGGTCACCGGCTCTTCCATTGTCTCCTCCAGGTCCTGCATTTACATTTTTAGGTCATATGTAGTTCATGTTAATGACTCTGGTCTCCATCCATGCAGCTAAAGTGATTCAAACACCCATTGCTTCCCTTTACACTCAGTGTACGGCAATACAAAGCTCACAGGGAAACCAAGCTACATCTATGGACCATAAAAATATTGCCAACAATTTTCGCATTCATCACAGGAGCCCAGGACTGGCATAGCACGAGGTTTCAGGGCAGAACTGAGGGGCATTGGCAGAGCTGTGTGGGGAGCCCAGCACTGGACTAGCAGGGGTGTGCAAGGTAGGATTAAGGCACATCAGCAGGGCTGTATAGAGTTGGACATTTGCTCTTTTAATTTCAGGAAATGCTTGTTCCAGTCTCTGTGGCACCTGCAGTCACTTTATTACTTTTTTAGCTCGATAAGGTAACTATATTTGTCTGAACTGATGTAAGACCCTGGGAAGTGAGAACCTGGTGGACCTTGGGTTGGGGAGATAACACTCTCTGAGAGGTATAAAGTGGGGTGATTTCTTCAGCAAAACCTGTCACAGCTAACAGTGCTCACTAACAGCGACACCATGAAGTTTCTCCTGATTCTTGCCTGCTTAGGAGCAGCAGGTGAGTTTTCCAAAGCAGTTTAATTCTCCTGATCCTCTGATGCTCTCCAGGGATCATCGGTGCTCTACCACAAACCTACTGCTTTCCCCTTTTCTTTAGGTTTCCCTATCTCTCTGTCTCTCTTTCAGTCTGTCCCTTCTGTCTCCCTTTCTGCTTCTCTCCCTTTTTCTGCCCCCTTCAGACTTCTAAATTTCTGCTCCCTCTCTGAGACACGGTTTTTCTCTGCATTTGCTTCTCTCTTTCTCTCTCTCTCTGTCTTTTCTCTGTGTACTTCTGTCTCCTTGCAATGAAACAAAAAATTCCAGTAGCAGTTTCAATTGTTCTTGACATTCTTCTTCATTTCTTGCCCTAAACTGATGTGTATTGTTTCTGTTCACTGTTAAACAGCTATCATGTTCCATGCCCGCTGTGGCAGTCCTTTAGTGGTGGGTGAAGTAATTCTTATATATATATATATATATTGTGATACAAGAGGGCCCGGAAGCAGTGGGAGAGTGGTCGAGGGGAAGTATATAAGCCCTAGGCTAATTAAGGTGTGGTTCCCTCTAGACTAGGGAGGGTTGCTACATGTTAATTGGAGCACCTGTAGTCAATTAAGGCCCTGTTAGCAACCTAATAAACCCCCCTGCTTCAGGCAGTCAGGGGAGAAGGAGAGAGGACTGGAGCTTGGAGGTGCGCTGTAAGACTTGAAAGATCAGCAAATCAGAGTAAGGGAGACCCTGCCCCAGCATTTAAGGACTGAAGGTACCCCACTGAAGAGGGTAAGAATACACAGGGGTTGAGAGGGGCTGGGGCTCAGAGTAAGGAGCAAACCCAGACCTCCCCGCTTCCTTCCTTTACCATGTTTGTGGGCCACTAGCAGGGCCCTCAGTGCCCCAAGAACAGGAGCAAGGGGTTGCATCTTAGCCCCCTCCCAAGAAAAGCGCAGGACCCACCATACTACATTAGCCATCTTGTCACTTTTACAAACTCTCTCTATTTTTTTTTTTTTTATATATAACACTTTAAGATCTTTCAGGGTTTGAGATCTGAGAGAAATCCCCATCATTATTTTACTGGGCAATGAAGGAACAGAGTTGGTGAGACCAAACTTGCTTTCTTCCAGAACCAGTATAGTTGTTACAGCCTCATGCCTTAAAGCAAGGGAGGGTAAACTATGGCCCGTGGGCTGGATCTGGCCAGTGAGGCCTTTCAATCTGGCCTGTGGGATTGGCAGCCCTGTGGCGCAGTGGGGCTAAGGCAGGCTGCCTGCCTGCCCTGGCCCCATGCCACTCCTGGAAGAGGCCGGCACCATGTCCCCGCAGCCCCTGTGGGGCGGGGGTGCGGCCATAGGGCTCTGTGCACAGCCCTCTCCTGTAGGCACTGCCCCCTGCAGCTCCCATTGGCTGGGAATGGGGATCCGTGGTCAATGGGAGCTTCAGGGGTGGTACTGCAGGTGAGGGCAGTGCACGGCATAGCCACCTGCCCCTCCCTACCCCCAGGAGCCACTGCCGGACATGCTGGCCGCTTCTGGAAGCAGCATGGGGCCAGGGCAGGCAGGGAGCCTGCCTTAGCCCTGCTGTGTGCCACTGCCACCCCAGAGCTGCTTGATGTAAGGGGTGCCAGGCTGGAGCCTAAACCTGTGCCCTGCACCCCTTCCTGCACCGCAACCCCCTGCCCCAGCCCAACATTCATGGCCTTGCATACAATTTCCCCACCCAGATGTGGGGCAAAAAGTTTGCCCACCCATGCCTTCGAGGGTGGTGAGCATGAAACATGGAAAATTTGAGGAGGGCAGGGCTTCAAGAGATGTGGAGAAGACTCCTGTAAGCCAAAGCTTTTAAGGGTATGGTTAAATAATTTGCTGCTCATTAGCTGCTGCATTTCAAGTCACTGGGTTCCAAGTTATTTTTTTAACACCTGATTTCCCCATTTCCTTCAGTTGCTGTCCCTGTTGATGATGATGACAAAATCGTGGGGGGCTACACCTGCTCTGTCCCCTACCAAGTGTCCCTGAACTCTGGGTACCACTTCTGCGGGGGCTCTCTCATCAACAACCAATGGGTCGTGTCAGCTGCTCACTGCTACAAATCGTGAGTGAAGGTTAATGCATTACATATTGCCTGTGGCCATGCAGCCTCTGGCTGAGATCTTGTCAGATCTAATCAGACCTGCCCAGTATGTGGATAGCAGAGCAATAAAGGAAAATCCATGTTGCAGGGTGACATCCCAGTGCCCAAGCATGGTATCAGGAAGTGTTTCTGACCACCATGAAAGTTCCCACAACACTCTTCTCTGTAGTAGGGTTGACAGTCCATCTGTCCAGGCCAATTTCCAAAATTGTTAATTACTTTCTGTTCTCCTTTAATTCCCCCAGAATTTTCAATTGGATCCATTCTTCTGCATTTCCTGACCTAAAGTGTTAACTAACTCTGCTAGGTACTGCTAGACAGCTGCCCCATGCTTCCCTAGAGGTGGCTATATATCTGTGGAAGGGGTGACGTGATCCCTATATATACTTTCTATACAGAGCCTAGTTCTGCCCTTCAGTATCCAGATGCAATTGCCATTGCAGTTCATACTGGCTGAGGACAGAACTGGATCCACCTTCAGGGACGTAATTGACCTTGGGATGAAAGTTTGCTAATGCAACGTAATATGTTATTGCTACTCCCACAACACTAAAGAAACTAAACCAGCCACCATTCCTGGGTTCAGGAAGGATCTGGAGAGCTTAGCTGGTTGCATGCTGTAAGGACCATCCTGAGCTGACTCTGGGGGATGGTTTAGATCAGGTGTTCTCCAGCATATTCATTCTGCAGAGCATTTCACAAGTGAAGGGTCCTCTCCTGTACACACCCCACAAATGGGTTCTCAGAACCTTTCATTCTTTTCACCCTGGGCTACAGCTGGAGATCTACTGGACAGGTATGGAATTCCCATCTCTATCTTTTATTATTAGACCTGACAGAGCTTGTGAATTTCACTGTTACTGTGTCATGTAAACAAATATTCAACCAGAGTAAGAATCAGTCCTCCTGCTTCTGGACATCTGTCACTCCCCATTTGGGATCAAGCATCAAAATTCCTCTTCCTGGTATGCTCTTACATAATTAGGCTCACTGGGAGGATTTAAGACCTTACGCTGAAGCATCTAGCTTGTGCCCCTGTTGCAGATGGGATACCAAACTTGATGGCCCCTTGCTTTGATTTCAGTACGAAGACTATTATGAAAGCCAGTCACAATTATTTCACTTGTGATCTATGACAGAATTTGAATGTCATCACTACACAGTGCACTGAACTATGTAGTGCCACCTAGTGGTCACATCTTATGCTATTTGTGGTTAACTGTCCTCCATGTTGCCTGGTTGATTTTTTTTTTGCAGCCGCATCCAGGTGAGGCTCGGGGAATACAACATCGATGTGTTGGAAGGGGACGAGCAGTTCATCAACTCCGCTAAAGTAATCCGCCACCCCAAATACAATTCGTGGCTCCTGGATAATGACATTATGCTGATCAAGCTGGATACCCCAGCTGCCTTGAACTCCCGTGTCACAGCAATCTCTCTTCCTTCTGCCTGTGTGGCTGCTGGGACTACGTGCTTGATTTCTGGGTGGGGAAACACCCTCAGCAGTGGCAGTGAGTATGAATGTGCTTCACACATGACACACAGCCCACTTATCTTATTACAGTTATGGGACCCAGATACATCTCAGTCTTGACCTGCAGCTTTTTGCACTTGCAATCTTTGGGTCCACACGCTCAGCTCTGCCAATTACCCTCTCTCCTTACTAGCAGTCCCCCCTGCTATTCCAGTCCTGGGCTCCCCACACAGCTCTGCCAATGCCCCTCAGTCCTTCCCTGAAATAACCCCTGTTCTATTCTAGTCATTGAGGTCCTCCTCACAGATGGTACGGTAGTTCTTACTGCCCTCTTTATTGGATTCTCTAGCCCAGAAATCTACCAGTCTTTGTATTAATTGGCCTGTCTGCTTTCTAAGATGAATCTTAGTGTTCTCCCCTCTCTGTTGGCAGCTAACTACCCCGAGCTTCTCCAGTGTCTGGATGCTCCAGTCCTGACTGACGCTGAGTGCAGTGGTGCTTACCCAGGACAAATCACTACAAACATGATCTGCGTGGGATTCCTGGAGGGTGGCAAAGACTCCTGCCAGGTGAGCTGCCTTTCATTTTCTCTTGGTCTGCAGAGATAGGGATCAGCTGCTCTTGTCCCTCCTGTTCCAGCCTTAGTGCCAGAACTTTGAGAACCTGCAGAGAATTAACCACAAGATGTGATGAGGAAAAGAATGTGCTCAGGAGTTTGGAGGGTGTGTTTGGGGGTGTGAACTGGATGGCTCAAGGGATCAAGCTGTGAACTTCAGGGCATTTCAACCTCTGGGTTATAGATGCAATTCAGTCTCTGATAGGGGGTGGGGATGAACAGGATGGACAAAACAAGGACAGAGGCAGGTGTTTGCTTTCAATACAGTCTCAGATCAGCAGATTTGGATATATTAGGCTTTTTACCACAATTAGCATTGTAGTTCCAGGCACTGCTGATGGGTGTTAGGTGCATGATGGTTAACAAAGGAAACTGGGATTTTTGGGCTATCCCCTATTCCCTGCCCATCAGACATATCAGAGTATATGGACTCTGCTGCTCCTTACCTAGTGCTTTCAAGATTCACCCGCAGCTAGTTGAAACCTTTCCCAATTAGCTGAATAAATTCCTCTGCCTGAATTAACTCGTGTCTGTAACACCCAAATCCTTTCCCTCACAGGGCGATTCTGGTGGCCCAGTCGTGTGCGGTGGTGAGCTCCAAGGAGTTGTGTCCTGGGGGATCGGCTGTGCTCTGCAGGGTTACCCTGGAGTCTACACCAAAGTCTGCAACTATGTTGACTGGATCAAGGAGACCATTGCTGCCAACTGAGACCTCCATCTGCTGCTGGTTTCCTGGTGACCTTTCCTTCCCTCCCCCTTTAATTCATCTTTGAAAACAACATAGCGCAAATAAAGCTATATTAGCTGTAGCAAGTGCTTTCTTGGTGCCAGTGTTTTTCCTCAAGGTTTTTCATAACACCTTACTGTTCCCTAGCACTCATTGCTAAAGTGCCGTATAGATGGTGCATAATGGGATCACTGCCCCAGCACTGAAGTGATCCATCTTTGAGTGAAACACAGCAATACTCTGCATTACAAACTAGCTCAGGATGTGAGGCAGGATAGTGGATCCAGTTGTACCTGCTGGGGGAAATTTAGGGAGGTTGTGTTTATTCAGGATGGACTATGGCCAGGACTTCTCTAAACATACAAAATGGTTCATGGGTCTTTTAAAATTAGACTTAGTAGTTTGTGCAAAGTGGTGACTGATAGCCCTAAAGACTGATCCACAATAGGAGGCAAAACACAGGCAGCAACAGAACAGGCCCCTCTCTCTCGACAGTACAAGATTGTTCTATAGCAGGGGTTGGCAACCTGCGGCACGTGTGCCAAAGATGGCACATGAGCTGATTTTTTTTTTATGGCACGCTGCTTGCTGGGGTCCTAGCCCCACTCAGCGCCCCCCCCCGCCCACCGATTTCTCCGGCGGGGGCAGGAGGTAGAAGCTTGGTCATGCCGGCAACCAAGCTCTTCTCTTCTCTTTTTTTTCTCCCCCCCTCCCCGCTTCTTCCCCCAGCATGGTGCTTTCCTGCCCCTCTCCCTGCCACCAATCAGCTGATCGCCTTTGGGTGTGGGAGCTGAGCTGAGCCTCAGCCTGCTCACTGCTTGGGGGAGGAGGCAGAGAAGTGGTGGGGATGGGGCATGTTCCCTCCAGCCCCCTGCCATGAGCACAAGCTGAGCACCTCTGCCCTGCACCCCCTCAAACACCTCCAGCCCCTGTTCTGACCTTAGCACCCCCCACACACACCCAGCCCTCTGCACCCCACACACATACCCAGCCTCGCCATGCCCTGACTCTTGCACCCCTCCCATTCCCACCTGCACCCCCAGTCTGGGGTCCTTGCCCTGAACCCCCACACACCCCTCTGCCCTGCACCCCCCACACATACCCAGCCCCCCCCCATGCCCTGACTCCTGCACCATCCCCACCCCCATCCTGAGCACCAAATAGGAGCTCCTGCACCCCAGTGTGGGGTCCTGGCTGCTGGCCCCTTGCCAGCCGGGGTCCTGCAGGCCCCGCTCAACCCGCTGCTGAACTAGGTGAACGGAACCCCAGGCCAGCCGTGGGCTGAGTGGGCCGGCGGCGTAAGATCAGCATTTTAATTTAATTTTAAATTAAGCTTCTTAAACATTTTGAAAACCTTGTTTACTTTACATACAACAATAGTTTTGTGTTATAATATAGACTTATAGAGAGAGAGACCTTCTAAACAATGTTAAAATGTATTACCGGCACGCGAAACCTTAAGTTAAAGTGAATAAGTGAAGACTCGGCACACCACTTCTGAAAGGTTGCTGACCCCTGTTCTATAGAGTGTATTCTCTAGTGCTGAGTCCAGTGCTGCTCTAAAGGACTTGAGTGATGGGGCCACCACTTCCCTGGAAGACCATTCCCCAATCTAACAGATCTGTTAGAAAATATTTCCAGAAATGTTTCCCCTTTGCTCAGTTTTGTCACATTTATTTGTGTATGTGTGGTCCTTTTGCCTCATTGAAATAGATTTAAGCTGTCTCTCTCCCTGTCTCCTTTTTGAATTCATGCAGGATACACTCAGTAGCTCTGGAACACTTTTTACAGTGGGGGTGCTGAAAGCCAGTGGTCCCCAAACTTTTTGTCATACACCCCTTGCCCCTGTCTGTGCCTCCTCTCCCCAAAGCTGGGACCAGAACCGGGCCATGGCTCTGGGAGAGGGGGGAAGCATGGACAGGGGTAAGGAGGCTGAGGGGCCAGCAGCGGAGCCCCAGGCGCAGGGCTGGCAGCGTTGGGACCCTGGACATGGGGCCGGTGGCCTGGACCCCGTACAAAACCTGGGGGTGCTGCAGCCCCTGCACCCCTAGTTCCTGTGCCTATGGATACACTTGCACTCCTGTACCTCTGACTATCACACATACAATCTGAAACCTTTCCAATTTCAAACCCAAAGTGGAGAACGGTTTCCCTCTGCTGGTGTTCTGGAGAATTACCTCTTAAAGTTAACATCCAAGTGAGGCGCCAACATCATTCACAGGAATCATGATACAAAGTTAAATAGAAACAAAGGGAGCAAAGTTATTGACCAAAGGATCTCCATCTCACAGGACAGGTAGCTTGTGGGCTGGGGCTCATTAGTGACATTAAGGACATTAACAGCCACAAAGTCAGTTCATTATTATCCTGAAAACTCTCCTTTGCCCTGACCACAAAAAACTTGACAACAGTTAGGCTGCTACTGTGCAGAAACCACAGCCTGTCATGCTGACCAATATTGTTTCATAGTTTCCTTGTACTTACTGTAGCCATCTGTTTTCTCTTGGTTTACACTTAGATTGTAAGCTCCCTAGGGAAGGCACTGTCTTTTTGTTCTGTGTTTGTACAGCACCTGGCACAATGCAGTCCTGGGGCATGACTGGGGCTCTGAATACAAATCATGCAAATGCCTCTTTATATAATAATAGTTATTATTAATAATAAAGTAATAGTAGTACAGAGAAGGTAAAATCAAAGCCTAATTTTATAGAGACTTCGCTATTGTGATAATGGTCCCTGTATTAATATCTAGAGAGACAGAAAGGCAAAGAGATACATTACACACTTTCCAGAGACGAGACAGTGACAAATGGGCAGTTAGATAATGTCCCAAAATAATAGTTTTTTAATGTAATCCACTTTGAAAAGGCAAACACACACACACACACACAATTGTTCCCACAGGTTAGTGGCCCCCAAGTGTGCAGAAGCACATAGCTTTGGTGGTGCAGAACATTTGCTGCTGCAGAGGTGCTTACATTTCACTAGTGCTGAAAACCCTTCATTACTGTAGAGACGCACACGTAGCGGTCATCCAGCCAGTGCTTAAAGTGGTCTGAAAAAACCATGGGAATGGCAGGTTTGGTAAGACTGTTAAGGTGTGCCCCTTAACAACCCAGCTTTCTTTCTTCCTTTATGGGGGGCAAATCTGTGACCCCCTTGTGACACCGCCTGTGCGCGCACCCCCCCATACACACTCTCTCTTTAAGCACTGCATTTCGCCAGCATACCAAATGCCCAGCTGGACCCCCCTGCCCTGATGCTAAGTACTGCTGCTAGCCCCTCTTTCCTCTGCAAACCTGCTGAGGCCTTACCAGCTGTTCCCTGCTGAATAGTCTATGTCAGGGTTTCTTGTGTGTGTGTATCGCTTCCTAGTGCTGGCTGCCTGAGAAGAGCTGGTCCTATAGGTAAAAGGGCTGGACTGGCTTTGGGGGTTGGGGTATGCCCCCTACTGGATGATTCTGTTAGAGCTTTTTCATGTGTCTACTCCTTCCCTTGGCTGGCTCAGTGTGTGCAGGTTTTAGATTTAGCTGACATGACATCTTCCTTCCTGGGATGCACCACAACTGCCCTGTAAACAAGCCTCTGGGGAAGGGCTCAACTTTATGTGTGATGTAGGTAAACAGGATGTCATGTGACCTGACCTCATGCCCACTGAGAACATCTATATAACGGTGGTGCTTCACAGAATCGACCATCATCTCTGTTGCTTGACCCCGTTACTGATAGTCTCAGCAAAGAAGTGAAGGACTGAATGGGCCACGGCGGCTCAGCTCTCTTCATGTTCCCGGATGAGATCTCTTCAGGGTAGGATTGCAACACATAGTGCGTGAAAGAAACCTGCATTGCCACTGTCTATGGTATGCCACTCAGAGGTTTGCCATTCCAAGGATAAACAGAAGCCTCAGACTCCAGGGACTGTCAATCTAGCTCGTCTCTCTAGCACTGTGCTCACACTCTGGGCATAAACGAGTACAACCCAGCCAGATTTTCAGAGAAAATATCAAGGCTCAGGAAAAGCTGTGAATAAAGGCTCCAATTTGGCAGGTGCACACAGGGCCTCATGGCTCAGTGCTAACAGGTCTACGTTGGATTTGAACATGGGTTGCCGATCTCACAGGGAATGGGAAAGGCCGAGGGACAGAGGGGTGCGAATGGAACATGCAGAATGCTGTGGAGGTAGAAAAAAGCTGTCTCTGAAAACAGCTCACTAACAAAAAAGCTTGCCGCTGACTTATTCTAGCCATGGAATAAGGCTTCTGCTAAAAATATGTGTTATGAAGAGATGGCTACAGTTAGACATAATCCTTCCTTTTTACACACACACACACACACACACACACAGTCACGGAGCAGCTGAGGAAATAGATTGTGGTTTTGGAGAAGCTCTCTGATGGTGATTGGCTGACGTCATGGAGGGGTGGAGCCTTGGGTAGGATTGTTTTTGTATGAGATTGTAACGTCGTGGGGACAGGGGGCCCACGGTGATACATTCCCTAGGGAGGCCTTTACAAAAACCTCCCTGGGGGGTATCCCATTTGAGAGTGTGCCAGGACAGATATAGCGCAGTATGCAGCACATTCTACCTGGACTGTGCCTAGAATGTGCAGTAGCGAGGCATGTGGATTGCATCTGGGACATACTTAGGCCATTCTACAGCACAGCAGGCACTTTCCACCTGGGTCTGATATATCTAGAAGACTGCAGCACAGCACGTGTTCTACCTGGCTGGGACATACCGAGAGCATTTGGCTCCACTCTATCGGGGATGCAACAGAAAGATCAGCAGCTCTGCTTGCATATTCTACCTGGGAAGTATTTGGTAGAACAGCCAGTCCTGGGTTGGAGCTAAAACATTTGTGAGCACAACAGATTCAGCTGGGATATACCTAAAATGCATGTCAGTGCAAAAGGGAGAGACTTCATATTTTGCTGGTGTGATAACCTCTTGCAATAAGTGGCCCATTATTCATGTGAAAACCCTCCCAGAAAAAGACAATCCAAAACATAACAGAGACCTGACAGAAACGTGACTTGCTGTGTCAGCTGCAAAACACAGAGGTAATAGTGATTTAAGTGTAAAACTCCATTGGATCTTTCACTCTCCAGTTCAGCTTCCTGTATCCTTTGGGCTTGGCTGATCATAGTGACAGGCTTAAGGCTTCTCTTTGACCCTCCTCATTATTAACTCAGGGATGGCAGGGGTTAGACTCTCAGTGACTGAACCTCCTGGACTATCTTTGGGGCTTTGGGTTGATTTCTTTAATCTACTAGGAAACCCCATAGTGTTCTATCAGGGTCTTCCTAGGACTTTGGCACTCTGATAGCAGAGGAGACGAAATCAGGAGCTCTTTGCTTTAATTCAGGGATAAAAAGGTGAGAACATCGCACTCTCTGCAAGCACCTGTTTATAGTTATTCCTAGGTCCCATTAAGTAACTACTTCATTGACCATTGTACACTCACTAGTTACAGGGCGAATGGCTGCCTACTCCTTGGAACACAGGACTGGGAATCTGGAGCTACTAGTCACCAAGAGGTTCTGTTCTTGGCACTGTCCCTGACTTGCTTGATAACCTTGGGCAACTCAGTTTCCCCATCTGTAAAATGGGGACAGTATGTATTGATCTCACAGGGGTAGGTGAGGACTGTTTAGATAATGGCTGTAGAGCAATTGGAGTGTGAAATATAAATAAAACAATACTAGGATCAATAAATAACGAACAGTACTCTAGTGAATGCTGAGTATTGCACAGAAGCAATGCAGACTGTTTTTATGCCAATGATCACTAAACTGGGGCTGAGTGGCCCTCATATTTCTGGGATTTTAGATAGAGTAAACACCTCTTATGTCTGTCCACATCACCTGGAGCATGTCCCTTTCTTCTGCTTCTGATGCAGCCCCTTGTCACTGTGACCAACGATAAAGTCTATTTTGGCACAGGCACAAAACTCACTGTGTTAGGTAAGAAAATCCCATTTTTCTTTATAATCCCTTGAAATCCCAGATCTCCCATTTTGGGAACAACCCCCCCCCCCCCATCCACGTCCCCCTTTGGTTATTGAGCTGGTGTTTTCCCAGCGTGTCAATTACCAAGCCTACTTCGGAGAAGGGACTAAACTCACCGTTCTAGGTAAGGACATAAAATTCCTTGTGGGTTGCTGAATGAATGTAATGTATGTGGATAATGGGGCTGCCCTGGCAAAGAATTAGGAAGGGGGAGGGACTGTGCTATATTTGTGTATACTAAATTTGTATTAATATAACAACCTCTGAAAAATCTCTCTGATCCACAAAGGTGTAAGTATTCCCCTAGAGAGCTAGTTATTCTGGGACTACAGAGCATTAAAAACCAACACATGCATCAGCGCATCTGTCCAGCGGGGACTGAGTTACAATCATGTTTTAAACAGCACAAACAACAGTGTATAGGGATCAAACCAGAGTCCATTAACTTCAGTAACTCTGGTCCCTTTGGGATTGAACATATACATGTTTTGTCTGGGGTGACAGGGTAAGACAAGCAAATATGCATGATATTTTTAACAGACAAAATAGAACAACAAACAAACGATCCGTTTTATCACAATCCGTGCTCCCAGATGCCTTGTGCTCTAATTCCCAGTTGCTCTTTTTCCATCCACTCGGACACAGGACCCCTAACAACAGACCAAATGGGGTAGACTCCTTGGCACAGAAGGGATCATTTACCCAATGGGAAAGCTTAGTGCAATGAGAATCCAAAAATCCCAGGAGAAGGTGCTGCTTACTGACAATAGAAAGCCAGGTCTAATGCATGTGGTTCAAACACAATAAAAGGCTTTTGGGGGATACTCCCATGTAGGCCCCCCCATTTGGATTTGGACATCCCCAAGTTTGATGGTCAAAACAAGGCTGCCTTTATAACCCTGAAAAATGACCATTGTGTTGGCATTGGCACACAGTTCTCCCCAGGTCAATGTACTTGCTAGCACCAGTCTTTTGATTGCACCAGTCCCTTGTAATGAGGATGTAGAAGGATTATGGGTTATTGATGGTGATTTCCACAACAGGGACAGTGACAAAGAGTCCTATAGTAATTTTTCAGTGTTTAATACATCTTTATGAGATGTGAGTAAGTCTCAGGTACCTGGCCTGAAGGAATTCAAGGTGTAGGACCCAGATTGACTGCAGCCTAGATTGTTGCAAAGTCCACTTTGAAGATTTCTGGTCAAGACAGGGAAGAAAAACTAATGGAGCAGAGAGGGTCTCCCCTCGGTGCTTGCTGAGGACCCTTTATCCTTACTGTGTTCAGGAAACTCTGAACAGCCTGGGGGATAGGACAAGCTGCTAAGGAATGATGTGGAATCACTACCTCTAGAGATCAAGACATCAAGGCAGAGACTAGAAGCCCATCTATTAGGGATGGTTTAGGGACAGTGTACTCAGTCCTGCCCTGACAGAGGGGAATGGACTGGAAGGCCCCCGCCAACCTTAAATAAATCAATATTTGTTTTAACAGAGTGTAAACATCAAGTGAGATAAGACTTAGATGGGGGAAGGGGTGAGAGATACCGGGATGACCACGAGCAAAGGGAAGGATTCTGGATGGATATTAGAAAGTATTTCCTACAGTGAGTCTGACTGAGTCTCCCATCAGTTGAGTCATTTAAACCTGGAGTAGATAGAGCCCTGGAGAAGACATTGCAGGGACCAGTCCTGCATTGGCCCCCAGCAGGTATGGACTTGGTGTGACCTAACAGATGGTTTCCATCTCTTATTTCAATGGCATTATAATTTGCTGTGCCTTTGGTTTCTCCTTCTGTTGGTGCATGGTGAAGAGGGGGATAGATTGCAGGGTGGGTTCAGCAGAGTGTGTTTGGAGGGAGGTTTTCCTGCAGCTGCATAATGGTGTGAACTCTGAAAGACAATACTTTGGCGATGGCACCAAACTCACTGTCCTAGGTAAGAGAGAAGCCCGAGTTGTGTGTTGTTTGTGATATTGTGAAGATATTGCCATACGAGACCTGACCAATGCTTCACCTAGTCCTGTGTCCCACTTACTGGAACAGGCCTCTGGTCCTTCTAGTCCAGTGACCCACAGCTAATACCAGATGCTTCAGAGGCATGTGTGACCCCCACCCTGTCCATAAAGTAGCTGCTAGTGCCATCTGGTATCATAGTGGCAGGCCTGATACCAAGCAATGGCCAACACAAGCCCTGGAGCCTGTGGATTGATAGCCCTGGTGTTTTTACCCTAGCTGGTGTTATTGCATGTTGTATTCTGAGCCATATGTGTGTCTAATTAGTTTTGGATTCAGCCATGGGACTAGGTCAATCTCCTCACTCTACAGAGCAATTATGTGGGGCTAAAAAAGATAAAATGAGATGGGGGGGGGGAGTTGCAGTGATTCATTCCTCGTATCCTCCCTGGGCTGAGATGTATTATAACATAAACACTCACTGGGAGTCCTATGACAGGAGAAAGGAAGAAGTAACAGCTCTCTCCAGCCATTCCTGAAGTGAGTAAGGAGGTTGGGGTGGGGGACTCGTCCGCAGTCCATGTGGTTTTTGCAACTCTCCTGCCTCACTGTGTAACAACCGAGAGCAGTATTTCGGAGACGGGACCAGGCTCACAGTGTTGGGTAAGGAATAGGCTACTGGCTCCTGGGCTGTGGGCTGGGGTGGGGGGGAAGTGGCTAGGGAGAGCAAAGCCTGATGTCATCTCTGGGACTGTTGCACTCCACAACTTTCTTCTCTCACTGACCCCAATAAAATGTCTGACTGAATATCTGTCACTCTATCTTTTTCTTGATTTTCCTCTCTCTGTAATGTTCTTATTCCCTCTCTCTCTTTGTCTCTCTGTGTCTCCCACACACAGTTCCTCTCTCTTGTCCCTCTCTTTCACCCTCTCTGGGGGCTGTTTTGAGATAGGAAGGACATTATAGAATCATACGCTCCTCTTTGCCTCCTGTCTTTTGCTGTCGAATGCCAGAGATTAGTCTGATTGCAGTCTCCAGTGATACAATCTGGCCATGATCGCTACAAAGTTTCCTGAGTTGGGAAGCAGTGGGGGCTGGGCTAGACTTTAGCAGTTGTGGGTTTTATTTTGACAGTTTACAGCTGTGCTCTAATACCTCTCCCCTTATCTTCGGAGCTGGCACTGTGCTCACTGTTACAGGTAAGAGGTCATGATTTATCTCCCCATTCCCCTGAAGGACGCTTAAAAGTTTCCCTTATGCAAGTGACATGTAGCATTCACACAAGTGGAGATGAGGGAAAACTGGCAAGACAATTATTCAAGGCACAGTCTCTATCCAGTTGGCCTTGCCATGAAGATGGAGGGAAAAAACAATGATAATGTACTCACCCATCAAAAAACATTGACCTTGGCAAGTGGGTATATAAAATAGACTATTCCTAGGCTACTGTGTCAATAGATTTCTTTCAGATTCTCTCTTTCTATGTGTCTGTATGTCTCAATCTCTCTGTTTCATTCTTAGTCTGCCCATTTCTCTGGCCTTCTATGTTTTCTGTGTGTTTTGCAGTGTTGTTGCAGCTGTGTTGGTCCCAGGATATTAGCGTGACAAAGGAGGAGAGGTAATATCTTTTATTGGACCAACTTCTGTTGGTGAGAGAGGTCTAGTTCCAGGCCTGAAGAAGAGCTCTGTGGAGCTTGAAAGCTTGTCTCTCTCACCAACAGAAGTTGTTCCAATAAAAGATATTATCTCACCTACCTTGTCTTTTTGTGTTTTATCCTTCTCTAGCTCTGTCTCTTTCTTTGCCTTTCTTTTTATCTCTCTCTCTCTCCCTCTCTCTTTGTCCTCCTTTCTCTTCTCTGTCTGTCTGTTTGTCTTTGTTTCTCTCTCTGTTTCCATGTCTCCACTCTCTATTCCTTGAGGGCAGGATCGGATGAGCACACTGAGCATTTACATATACCACAGAAGCTTTGAAGACAACAGAAAACAGTTTGTAAAACAAAACACTAATTATGATGGTGGGGACAATAAAAGGGATCATAGCTCCCCCATAGTCACAGTATTGCTTATGGGGAGGGGGAGGCAGCTGTTCAGTTTCCTACCAGACCCCTACTACTGTGCTCTGCAGCCAGCACGCTAAATTTCGCGGAGGGGACTCATCTCACTGTACTAGGTAAGGACTGACTATTGTGGTTAATATTAATTGCTGAAAGAAAGCACCAGGATTTGGAATCCAAATTAAAACTGCCAAGCATTTTGAGTCAGATTCCATGTCAGATAAAAACTCCACTGACTTCTACATACCCTAGAAATGGTTCCTCTACAGGAGCCAGTCAGACCCAGTGAGCTGCGCGGTGTGCTGGCTCTCTGAAATGGACAGCGAAAATCACCCCCATAGAATATGTTTAACCTATGGCTTTTCATTCTGTATGGTGTTTCCAGGGATCTTGTAAAGCATCCATAATGGAACCCATTTCATTAGGGCAAGGGTCGGCAACCATTCAGAAGTGGTGTGCCGAGTCTTCATTTATTCACTCTAATTTAAGGTTGTGCTTGCCAGTAATACAGTTTAACATTTTTAGAAAGTCTCTTTCTATAAGTCTATAATATATAACTAAACTATTGTTGTATGTAAAGTAAATAAGGTTTTTAAAATGTTTAAGAAGCTTAATTTAAAATTAAATTAAAATGCAGAGCCCCCCGGACCGGTGGCCAGGACCCGGGCATTGTGAGTGCCACTGAAAATCAGCTCGCGTGCTGCCTTTGGCACGTGTGCCATAGGTTGCCTACTCCTCCATTAGGAGATAACAGTAATTATAGTGGAGCTGCAAAAAGATCAGTGATTTGTTTGATTTTGCTACACAACTCTTCATTGCAAGGGTTCCAACAGGGAGAAACTTAGTACTATAATAGTGGGTGCTTTAGAAATGCTCCCTGCCTAAATTTGTCACTTATACAATATTTTCAAAACAATACACAAATCTTAAGTAAGGGCAAACTACTGAACACAAATTGTGCCTGTGCATGCTTGTGCAAATGTATGTGTTTGTTTATGCATAATGAAGTGGTTAAGTCTTCCTCTGATACCTGACTTGGCCAGTGTTGGAGACCAGACTGCACAGATCATTGATATGGCAACTTCTGTGTCCCAAATAAAATACATGAAGTCCCAGACGACTTCTACTGAAGTCTCCTATCCTTTAGACTAAATGTTATTGAGCAAGTAGACCAAGGACAGAGTTGTATGTCCTCATCACTCTTGTCCCCAAATCTACAGGAAGGATATTCTTATTTCAGAGAAAGTATAAAGAGGAGCATAAAACTAATTTAGGGTGAAGAATTAAAAAAAGTAGAGATGGAAATCATATCTAGGTCAGATCTTGTACATCCCCTAGTTCCTTTCCCCCACATTTTGGCCCATGCAGAATCGTTCCCTTGGGGTTTGTCCAATCCCAGTTTTACGTGATTTAAGTAATGAGGTTTCCAACACTTCTTCCCTGGGGTGGACTATTTCATGCTATTCCAGAACCTTGGTATCAGGTCATGTTTCCTGCCATTCAGGCAACGTTTCGTTTTGCTCATTTTCATCCCATTGCTCCTAGCTATTCACCTCATGTGTCCTTGAACAATTTCTCTCTCTCCTTGGGAAGCATGGAATTTCTCATCTTATGGGTTTTCTCATATGGCAGAGAGGTGCCTACAAGGAAGAGGAAAATACTAGATACTGTGGCTTCAAAACTAATGCTAGCATTTTAAGGGGAGAATAAGATGATGTGAGCTTATCATCAGTAACTCAGGGCATGTTGCATCTCAGAATGCCACATTCTCAAAGGGGTTTTCTCTGTCTGTATGCCTCTATCTGTTTCCATGTCTCCACTCTCAATTCCTCGAGGGTTTTCCACGACAGGCCAGCCAAGGCAGGAAAAGATTCTACATCTTTAGCAGGAGTTTGGCACCTTTATAATAAAACAGAGAACCTTATGTAAGGAATGTGATGCCCCTTTAAGGGCCAAGCACAGATACAACAGCCAAAACTGAAAGTCAAGATGTAAGGCTGTGCCAGTTAAAGCCAAAGCAGTGATCTGGAGTTGCTCAATTTGGTTAAGGTACATCTCTCAGCTCAGCTCCAGGCCTCTTCTTGGAGAGCCTTCCTCCAGCCAGAGGGGGAAGGTTAACCCTTTCCCTCCCAATGCCTGAATGGGGCCTGTGAACCGATCACATCGTAGTATAATTCTGAGTTATACACTATTGTGTCTTATTACACCTCCCCAAACACTCTAATTGCTATGAACATATTGCTTCTTGTGTCTTACAATGCAGCACACTGCCCACAAGGAACACACTGCATGTTTTGTCTGATAACACCCATTGATACTTTTCCCTGTCAGTATGGAGGCATGGGTTTGGTAGTATCCCTTTAAATACTTTGGAGTCCCCTAGTGTGCCTCCCAGTCTTCTATTGCAGAAGGCACCAGAACTCTGTTTCAGCTTGTATGTAGCTAGAATCATAGAATATCAGGGATGGCAAGAACCTCAGGAGGTCATTTAGTCCAACCGCCTGCTCAAAGCAGGACCAATTCCCAACTTTTTTTTTTTTTTTTGCCCCAGATCCCCAAATGGCCCCCTCAAAGATTGAACTCACAACCCTGGGTTTAAGCAGGCCAATGCTCAAGCCACTGAGCTATCCCTCCCCACAAAGGCCTGCTGTGTTCCGATATAGTTAGTAAACATGGTGCCTTGGAGTCCAGCTGTGTCTGTGTGGTTTCCTTGCATTATCAATGTTGTATAGAGAGCAAAGACACAATCAGTATCCTGAGGGGTTGTTGGCACAAGGCAGGAGAGTGTTTGTGCAGGGCCGTCTGTGCCATGTTGCTTTCTGTTCCAGAGGTTGGGCTCAATATCACCTCCCCCAGAGTGGCCATCTTTCCCCCATCAAAGCAGGAAATCAAAGAGAAGGGGAAGGCCACTCTGGTGTGCCTGGCCACAAAGTTCTACCCCGACCACATCAAGCTGTTCTGGGAGGTGAATGATGCTGAGAGGGAAGACGGGGTGAGGACAGATGAGTTTTCCACTTGGGATGAAACATCAAAATCATACTCGCTGACCAGCCGCCTGAGGATCTCAACCCAAGAGTGGTTCAACTCCAAGAACAGTTTCCGGTGTGCTGTGAAGTTCCACCTGGATGAGATCCAGTATGAAGTGATCAGAGGTGGAGATGGTGAGTAGCGACTGAGCATTATATTATCGTATGAAATGGAAAACAATCAAAGTGGAAACGAGCAAAAGGAGATGAAAGAGAGAGAAAATAATCCCCACATAAATACAAGAAGAAAGACAGTGTTCATCTGCAAATGTGCAGGTTCATGGACACACATATACGCGTACATGTAAGAGTATGTGCCAGGACTATATGTGTATGTTCACAGGGATACATATGTGCATGTGCATAGTCTTTTTATATATGTATATAGTCAAGTACATTTTCATAGCTCTCTGTAGAATTTAGCTAAGAAACACTCTGAAGAGTCTATAATCTAAATAATATGAGTAAGTACCACTAATACCATCAATATGTAACATCCCAGAAACTCTGAAGCCTGTATTCTGTCAGCTCTGAGGAAACTGTGACTTACAATCCTTTCTTTGCCTTTCAGGATGTGGCATCACTGAAGGTAGGCATTTCCTCTCACTGCCTCTATCTCTCCAGGAATTTAAACTCCCTTACTAGCAGACACTATGTACAGGGTGTGTCAGGAAGAGTTTAAGGCCACAAGGGACCACTGGATCATCTATATATGAATATCACAGGCCACCAACACCACCAACACCCCCACACTAAAGTCAACTACCAAAATTAGACCAAAGTACTGCAGCCCACAGGAGACTAGACTATTATGTGGGGGAAATGTGTTATGTTTCTCTGCACTAAGAGAGAAGCAAGAACTTCCAGCCTAAAATGTCTGGTATAGTATATGAAGAAAAGATAACTAAAAAGTGCAAAAGAAAAGCCTGCATGTGAGAGACAGTGCACTGAGAATGCCTACTCCAGGGGCTCCCTTTGTAAATTACGCAAAGGGGATCATGGGACCTTCCCCATCCAATCAGATTTGCTCCCTCCGTCTTCCCTCTCCTTCAGTATAATTATAAACAGCAGATGTCTTCAGACTGGAAAGTTACCAGCTTAATCATTACTCATAGAAGGCCCATCTATGAAACAGGTATTCTCCAAATGGCTCCATGAGGCATTAAAAGCATTAAAGAGCCAGTGAATATCAGGAATATAAATACAAATGCCAGGCTATTCAGCTTTATTTGGGTGCCTGGTGTAACCAGATATCCAGCCCAGTTTTTCAGTGATGTATAGTAAGACCTTCTATTCCTCACTGTGAGTTTCTTATTTGACTGTTGATGCTCTAGATGCAGATTCCCCAGATTATATAATTCCATAAATAATCAGTGTTTGATTTACAGAATCCTACATGCGATCTGGCAACTCTACAAAGCTCACCTACCTGGTGCTCTTGTGGAAAGCCATGCTCTATGCCTTGCTGGTGAGCGCTCTGGTGTGGAGAGTCAAGGTAGGCTAGCCTTGGTTTTTGTTTGGGTTGGCAAAATCAGAGGTTCAAGGACACCAGGGACATCGGGTGCAGAGAACGCTAGCAATGGGCAAAGACCTACAATCTTGTCCTTCCTTCTCCCAGCCATTGAAAGGTTGTTTTCCATATATTCTGCAGGGCTTTGTCCAGTCTAGTATAATGACCCAAACGATGAGGTTTCCACCACTTCCCTTTCACAGTCTAATAGAAACTCAACGTTAGGAATGGTTTCCTCATACCCAACACAAATATTCCTTTTCAGGGCACTTGTTAACACATGAGGAAAGCTCAAAAGAATTAACTATAGCTTCTCCAGAGTATGACTAAGGTGGCTATGTTAACATTCTATGTGTATTGGAAAGAGTGCACATGTCATGGAGGGAGAGGAATAGCTAAGTGGTTTCTAAGGAGATCCTGGGGTTAATGAGATGAATTTGAATACAGGGGAGAGTTTTGACTGTTGAATGATGTTTGGTTGAATGATCTCCCTGAGGGGTGTGGTGGAAGCACCATTACATGACTCATTTAAACCTCGGCTCGGACAAAGCACTAGAACATAGACCTTATGGACCAATCCAGGGAGTTATGGACAGATGGGCATGATGCTGCCTACTGCATTAAGTCTTTCCCATCTCTATTTTCTCATTGAATCATTGTTCTGTGTTTGTACAGTGCCTAGCACAGTGCGGTCCTGGTCCATGACTGGGGCTCTTAGGTACAATGGAATACAAAACAATAAAAAATAATAATACACTTGTGTGATGGCATTGGACTTTTTCATAACATTTTGGATGACTCTTGTATGTGGCTCAGTTTCTCCTATGTGGGGCATGTTTAAATAGGTGGGAGGAAAAGGGTGTTGACCCGTTGCAGAGACCCAGAGATATAGGTGTGACTGATGCCTAGCTTCCTGGGGCCCCAGATTTTGCCAAGAGGAAGCTCATGGATTGTCCTAGAAGCCACTGGCCACTCCAATTGCCCGGACATTTGGCACCTTGCAACAAACAACCATGGATCGGCCACCCTCCTTAGGAAGCCAGCTGGGTGTGACCAACTGGAGAACAAAGGACTGGGGAGGGACCAGGGGATTGTATTGTGTGGGCTGCTGGAGTCAGAGGGAAGCTTCTGGACTGGGACTAAAGAGGGGTCAGAGGGCTCTGGATTCTACACTGACCCAGATGGACTTTGCTGTAACTTTCCATTCTCCGTGCTAACTAAGGACTTTCTATGCTGGCTGAGAGTCACTTCAGTCAGGAAGTCGGGGGTGCATTGCTCCCTTTGAGCGTATAAGTCTCCCTCGTGTGTCCAACTCAGGTGGACTCGCTGAAGGGAGCTCACGGCATGAAGCAGGGGTGCTGAAGGCTCCGAGGTTGGGTCCCAGGAGGCGGTGAAGCCGAGTGGCTTACCCCAGTGAGAGAGTGTGACCCTAAGGGGGCAGACATACTGAAGGGGTCCTCCCAGGGACTGTTCCAGAGCTGTTTGAGAGCGCCAGACCTGTGGATCCGTGACAACTTGTGTGAAAAGTCAGGTGTAAAACTCTACCAAATCAGTATGGCAGTGACACCAGATGTAAGGCAGTGGAGACTCTACTGGCAACAAAGAGGGGAAGTGCACTGGGCCAGATGATGCACTGACTGTTTTGCATTGCTCTGTGATGTACAGCACATTGTGAATCTGGACCACTGTTTCTATGAGGTGATCACTTTTGTTTGTGTTTTTCTTTCTTTTGTTTAGGCTGGTGACAAGCTGAGCAGAGAATAAATTGGGACTCGTCTCCAGCACCTCAGGAGGAGCACAGCTAAATTTATCTACTGCCCCGAATCCTCCAGGGAGAAGGATTTTGCTTCTGCCTGCACTCTGCTGATATTCCATTCCGTGGAGGGGTTTGATGGGTGGAGTAGTTCCTCTCTATCCATCTCTCTCAGTAGTCACTGATGGCTCCCTCTACCCCCAGAGCTTTAAAAGCTAGATAGCTACTCACTGTGAGGGACTGAGGGGGCTGCCCCCTGAAGCCGTAATAAAGTCTTGGTTTCTTTTCATTTGAAAAACCTGAGTTTGTGTCTTTTCTCTGATAGCTACAGGGCTGGAGTCCACACACTGCAGCATGGAATGACACACATCACCATGCAGAGCCCACGTTAATCTGCATTCATTGATAGGGATTAGAAAAATATCTCATCTGCAGTTAGGATAATACAGGGGTCTTTGAGTTCTCATGCATCAGGATATACACTGAAATTCCCCCCCACCCCTTGCTGACCTCCCTCCTGGAATAAAGTGGTATAATATTGTCAAGGCCCTTCTTTTTCAGCTTTGGTTTTGTTTTTTAATATCCTGGGAATGTATTGGTGTTTATTCAAAAATTTTAAAAACATGAGAAAATCAGTAAAAATCAAAAATGAAGGGCAGTGGGTGGGTGGGGGAAGAGTGCTCAATACTCACATGGAGGGGAGGGGTGCGTGGTACTCACAGGATACAGTGGGCAGGGTGTGGGGGAGGGTACTTACCCTGAGGAAGCCTTCCACTCCCTGCAGTGGTCTCAGCTTCTGGGACCCAGCTCCCTACCCCTCTCACTTCCCTACTGTGGAGAGGCAGTTGGGGCTGCGCAAAAGTGCCAGGGTCAGGAGGGGAGCAGGAGGCTGCACCCCCATAAGTACGGATCCCTCTGCTGGACAGAGTCCCCTGCTGACCCCAACCCTTCAGCACAGCCCCGTCTGGTTCCCCTGCACAGGCTCTGTCCAGCAGGGGAAGTGGATGGGGCTCTGTGCCCTGGGCCATGCTGAAAGGCTAGTGTCACAAGAGGAGCTTCTCCAAAGCAATGTCAGGTGCGAAAAAGCCAAACTCGGAGTGAAAATCAGTAAAACTGAAATACTGGTTTTTGAACACCTGGGAATTTCTCAGTGAAAATCAATAAATAGCAAAAATGAAGGGCCTTGAATACTGCATCATTGGGTGCTTTATTATTTATATCTAAGATTAGACTGTTAGCTCTCCTGGGCATGGACCATATCTTTCTATTCGGCAAGGTGCCTTATATAGGTTGGACAAAGTAAAAAATAATAATTATCATTATAATGTGAGGTATTGCAGTTTCCTTTGAAGCTTTCAGCATTGATCCTATCAGGGACAGGATACCGGACAAGATGGTCATTGTATGCCTAGATGGCATTCTCCCAGGGCTTTGCAGTTGGGGAAGCTATACAAAGACCAAGACCCTCAAAGGTCTTTAGGCACCTACTTTCACTTACCTACTGAAAAACTATGGAAAATGTCCTACTTGAAGACTATGCTTTTTTTTCTTCTCTTCTGCTTTGTTCGATATGAGCAAAGGAATGGATGGGCTCAGGTGGATCAGGGTAGGAACATCTTGGGCCCAGTTCTCCTTTGCACCAGATATGAGCTGAGCATAGGGAACAAGGGGAAGGGGGCAAAGATGGCTTTACACCACTTCTGTGCCTTTTGTATTTTAGGCCAGACCCAGCCATGGATGGCATAAAGGCAGGCACAGAAACTAGCCTGCGGATGCCAGGACCAAGGGGTAAAAGTAAATCAGAGAGCTGGATTAGTAAAAAGGGACAAGCTGGGAGGCAACTGAAGTAGGTACAGTAACTCCTCACTTAAAGTCGTCCCGGTTAACATTGTTTCATTGCTGATCAATTAGGGAACATGCTCGTTTAAAGTTGCACAATGCTCCCTTACAACGTTGTTTGGCAGCCGCCTGCTTTGTTCGCTGCTTGCAGAAAGAGCAGCCCATTGGAGCTAGCTTGTGAGGGCTTGGAACCAGGGTGGACCGGCAGCCCCCCTATCAGCTCCCCGCTCCCCTAAGTTCCCTGTGCTGCATCCACCCAGCCGGGTATCAATTGCTGGCAGTTCAGCTATCCCTTCCCCCACTGCTGTGTGCTGCTCCTGCCCTCTGCCTTGGAGCTGCCCCTGGGAGCCTCCTGCTTGCTGTGCAAGGGTGGGGGGGAGGGAAGAGGGGTGCTAATGTCAGGGTGTCCCCCTCCCCCTGCCCCCCACTCCTTTACTCCATCCACAGAGCGGGAGGGTCGCTCAGGACCTGGCAGCAGCTGCTGTCTCAACTTGCTGATCTACTTTAAAAGGCACTGGGCCATGGGTGACTGTGTACAGGCTAACAGTCACTGTTTAGTAACCCCTCTTACATGTGCGGTTTTGTCATCGTCCACCAAGTAGCTCATGAACATGTTTGGCTACATTCAGTGTTTTGGATTGTTACTATGGGGTAAATCTCTGCCTTTCTCTAGGGAGCCAACTGGGACAGGGTACTCCACCTCCAACGCTAGCGAGCGGGGATGGGGCCCTGTACTAGGAACCCCATAGCTATTCCTCAAAACCTCATGGTGTGTACAAGCCAAGAGGTGGAGAGGAAGGGCAACTAACCAAGGAGGGAGTGGGGACGGAAATGCACCTGTACCATGGCCTCTGGGTGCCATGAAACACACATGGAACTTGGAGTGACACTGTCTGGTGTGTGAATGTGGCATGGGACCCAGAAGTACTTGGGCCAATGCAACTGCACAGGCTACATAGCCCTAAAGTTGCCACAGCATGGGATCTCCAATTATTAGAAATAATTAGGATCTTGGCTTTACCACTCAGCTCTAGCCACACTGTTTCACCCAGCAATATGGTGTGACACTGGGGTCAGTATTGACTTAGAGGGGAGAAAGTCACCTCCTGAGTCACCCACACCCTTTCTTGCAGCCCTGCACCCCTCAGCACCATGCAGGGGCCTTTGGGTCAATGCTGACTTACATGAGAAAGGGCCCCTTACTGAGTCACCCAAACCACTCCCTGTACCAATTGCTTTCTCCTTGAAAGTCTTCCACCTAAGTACTGACCCTTCCTAGCACAAGAAACCTGACACAATCTTAGCACAAGTCAGTTAGCCTGAAGACAGGGGAAGAGAGACAAGAAGATGTGTGGTGGGGAGCAGCAGAGAGCTGTGAGGATGTGGTGAAGGC